CCCCCCTACCCCCCACCCCCACCCAAAAAAAAAAATCAAATCAGATACCACATGCTTTCATTTCTCTTTCCTCTTTGCAGTTCAGACATGTTATTGTAATTGAGAAAACCAGTTTGGATTCAAGTATCTGGTCTCTCTGAAAAATGCTTTATTTCACTTTACACAATTTTTCTGTGGAGATATGAAGCAGTAGTTGCTAACAAGACTTATAGAAGACATTGATGTGAACTAATTTAGTCCCTTTTTCTGTCATTTCATATTGTTCTCTTGTCTAATATAGCATGGTCTTCTCAGGGCAATCATACTTGCAATCTTCAAGATTTGAGATCTAAATCAGAGCACCAGCTCTCAAGCTTCCTTCATGGGCATTTTTCATCATCTCTGAATTTAGGGTATCACCCTCTCCAGCTTCAGTTAAGATCAAAGAAGAGCCTACACAACTATCTCAAACTTTTTGCAAAGTTACAGGAAAATGATGATCCCAAGAGCAACGATTGGAAACCTTGTAAGGAAACACTCCATGCTGCCACTCATGAATTCGAAAGCAATCCTAGTTCTCAGAAATCATCTAGTAGCCCAAGCACACTTAACTCTCAATTAGATGAAGACTCAAAGTGTCAGTCTATTGCTAAGGAGGATCTTTGTCAATATCCATTCGATTATGAACTATACCTTGACAAGTTAAAGGCTGTACTTTTGCATGTGTTGGCTGCAGGGCAATGGAATGCTCCACGTCTCAAGATGTGTGACAGGTAAATTGCTAGCAAGTAATACTTTACATTATTTGCTTCCCATTTGAAATTATGTACCTATTATTTTCTTTTTGGCAGAAAATATTTGGTTAGTTCGACAAATTTGATCCATTATTTGGCACTACGTTCCCTCGATGTCCAACAACTGACTGATGGGCTTTCCTCCATCGGCCTTATGAATCTAGACGGTGTTAATTCACATGTTCTCGCCAGTATCAATTCTTGCATTAGTCTGCTGGTAAAACAAGCGCCTAAATATTGTAGTGCAGAATTAAATGTATTGGATGCTTCTTTCGGAGTCACTTGTGAGGAAAATCAGAAGGTAATGGAAACAGGTCTGATGAGGAAAAGGGCATCAATGCATGCAACTGAACTACTTGGAACAGTTTGCAATAAGAAAGAAGTACATATAATGGTAACAGTTGGGAAAGAGGCAATCGCCAAGCAACAGCTTCTTCCTGATCTTCTAAAGGCCGGAGCTGATATAATACGGATTAATTCTGCACATGATGACTCTAGTGTTTGGAGTGAAATCATCAGGCAAGCAAAGCACAGCTCCCAGATGCTGGAAAAGCCATGTCGAATTCTGATGGATTTGGCTGGGCCAAAGCTGAGGACAGGGTTTTTGAATAAGGGGCCGAGTGTGATGAAAATATCCCCAAAAAAGGATGTGAGTGGAAATGTGATTGTTCCCGCTCAGGTCTGGTTATCTTACTCAGGATGTGATCCTCCTTCCCACATATCACCAGAAGCCGTCCTGTATGTAGAAAGTGAGCGATTTCTTCACAAACTTGAGGTGGGTAGCATTATAAGATTTGTCGATGCTAGAGGGAAAAATAGATCTTTAAAGGTTTGCAAAAAGCATTCTGTTTTTGCTGGTTATGGCTATACGGTTGAGGTTTCAAGGACTGCTTATATTGCATCTGGCACCAGATTGCGGATTGAGAGAAAGAAGGGTAAGGATTCAGTTGGACGCATTGTGAATGTTCCTTCTACAGAGCAGTTTATTAGACTGAGAGTAGGAGATTTACTAACTATTTACAGAGATTCCTGTTCATCCATCAGTAATATAGGCAGCAGTTCATCTCTTGCTCTTAAAATCACATGCGACTCTGGGCGCCTTTTTGATTCTGTTAAACCTGGCGAGCCAATTGCATTTGACGATGGGAAAATCTGGGGAGTTATTCGAGGGGTTAACAGTAGTGAGATTGTTGTGTCAATCACTCATGCAAGACCTAATGGCTCCAAACTAGGTTCTGGTAAATCAATAAACATACCTGAGAGCTCAATGCAGTTCGAAGGTCTCACATCTAAAGATCTTCAGGATCTTGAGTTTGTTGCTAGTAATGCTGATATGGTTGGAATTTCATTCATTAGAAATACATCTGATATCGATATTGTTATGCAAGAGCTTGCCAGAAAGAAGCTACACAATCTGGGAGTTGTATTGAAAATAGAAACCCGTGATGCATTTGAGAAGCTGCCACTTCTACTTCTCCAAGCGATGCGGTTCCCTAATCCTTTGGGTGTAATGATCGCTAGGGGAGATCTTGCAGTGGAGTGCGGATGGGATCAGATGGCTAGTATACAAGAAGAGATCTTATCGATTTGTGCTGCTGCACATATACCTGTAATCTGGGCAACCCAAGTCATGGAATCTCTCGTTGGGCACCAGTGCATGGATCTCTCGTAATCTGGCATTCCTGCTGGATAGAGCCGAGATCACTGATGTCGCTACTGGAATGAGGTAAATGCAATATTTTGTACGTTACACGCACTATATTAAGAGTTTTTTTTAGGTTACGTACACCTGTTTTGCTTTCGTAAATTGGTTAAGGATATTAGCTTCAATTTTCAGAGCACTATACAAAACAGCAGATTTGACGAACACTTAGCCCATGAATTCACTTCACGACTGGAGAAAACCATAACTTAATATGAAATTTTCATTATTTAACCGCAAGTCTACTGTGCAGGTCAAATTGCATTATGCTGAACAAGGGTAAATACATTGTAGAAGCAGTTTCAAGCTTGGATTCTATCATAAGCAATTGTTCCACAAAGGAGAACGTGAAGAATTTAGTAAAGCCACTTCTTCCCTCCAG